ATTATACCCTGATTTCCCATTTTCAATGGGTTCAGGGTATAAAAAAAAAAAAACAGATAAGAGATAAGGACCAAGATAATAATAAATGAAATGAAGAGCGATTAGATTATATTTTATTCATATTTTAGTTATTTAATTAACTAATTAATAGTTGCTATTAGCAGCTCTATTCTGTATGCAAAATATTGCGAACTTTGCACTAACATTTTAGGTCATAAATTTTAGACACTTTTCTCTACAATACCCTTACACGATTCATAACCCATTCACGTAATCACGCTGCCATCTCTAACAGTTGAGCTGGGCGCTGCTGAGCCCTTCCACTAGTTATGAGTTTTCGCACTTGTTGCTTGACTATTTTTGGCCGTGTAACGAGAAAGGCTTATCTAATTTGAGCGCTCAATCGTAAACGCCTCAAACAAACAAAAAAAACCTCAGATCTAGCTCCTACGCCCTGTCTCCCGCTCGACCACACGCCCTCTCTCTCTCTCACTCTCTCTCACTCTCGCTCTCTTTCTGTCCACCAACATCTCTCGCTGCCATGCAAATAGTGCATTGTAAATAACTCGCGTTTTATCAGGAGTTGACAGCTCTCTCTCTCTCCTCATTTCTCTCTCTCTTTCTCCCATCTTGCTCTATCATCTGGCTGTTCCCGTTAGCAGCATCGCTGGTGCGTTTCAGTTGAGATTCGCGTGCGAGCACACAAACAGCCAAAATAAAGAAAGCAACAAATGCAACGCTGCATAATTAGCGTGCATTAGTGAAAACCCAAAAGCAAAACAACAACAACAACACCAATTAAAAGAAAACTCAATCCGAAAGTATTCCCACCCGTTTGCCGCGTGTGCATTCGAATTCGAAATGGTTATCGACTCGCCGCACGCAGCTCACAAATATTTGCGTCGCATCTCGCGCGATTTCTCCACAGTGCGTCGCTTCAGCAATACGCCGCCTGTTGGCCCAGCCACGCCCCCACCAACGACAGCTCCATCCGTGGATGGAGCCGATGCACTGCCCAGCACGCCGCGTGGCATTCGCAAGCGGCAACGTCCGCGTAAGCGTTCCTCCGTCTCATCGACGCTGTCGAAAGTTTTGATACTCAATGTGCGTGATTTGCTCAGAGCGCAGCCAGAACCAATACCGGAGGTACTTCAAATAGAAGCGGCCAATAGTAAACATGAATACTCAATCTGTCGCCCCGCACTCCCCTTCCACTAATCGCAGTCGTATGCTGTTGGTTAGCCAACAATGGCAGGCTTTAAATGTTGATTTATACCCTGTACGGGTGGGAAAGACTTAAGAGAGGGTATTACTGGAGCTAGGTTTGATCAGAGAAGACGTGCTGTGCGTATCGGAATTGAATGGTTGTCAAATCGATACACACATCTACGACCGATGAATATCGACAAATATAATATAACTCTTACATTGCTAGTAGCTCGTAGAGATTTAGTATAACTAATTGGAAATCACAATAAATACATTTAAGTGCACGTATCGTAAATACTGAGTATCGATTACTATCGAATAATCGAATTGAATGATGCGAGCAACGAATTATAATAATATATATATTATATTCAGAGAGTTAGTATATATCGATAGCTATAATTTGGCAGAATCTGATCAATTTTATTTATTCTACAATATTTCTAACTTAAGAACCTAATCCAATAAATATCGAAAATAATTATATGCCGAAGGTAACAAGTTCTGGATCAATCAAGTTCTTAACTCAACAAAATTTATATATTTTGATAAGCATCCATCGATTACAGCAATTATTTTTCCAGGGTATCTAACTAGTCGTGCCCCTCACAACGTACTCATGCGTTTGTTTCTTTCGTTTTTTTTCAACTGTTGCATTTGCTACGAGCTTAAGTCTCTCTCGAATAGTTTTTGCCATCCATTACCAAGTTTTTCCATTTGAAATCTTTTCCTTTATTTTCTTTGCTTACTTTTTGTTATTCTCTGTTCTCTGCAACAATTTTGCATGGTTTTCGCTGTAGCTTGTGCTTTGTCTTAACTGCGAATGCGTGAAGTTTCGATTCGATATGCCAATCGAATTGTACAGTTGACTTAGCATGCCAATATCTGCCATGTGTATCTGCATAGTGCATTAATCTTATTGTTTTATTGAAACTAGAAGTGTTTCTGAAGTTTTTTATCTTAAGTTAGGTAAAGAAAATTATAAAATTTTATTGGATAACTGAATGGAGTAACATATGCTGTAGAACTAAAGATTATATTATCATTACGAGTATTATACAGTCGATATGTCTATAAATATTGTTTTTATTTACATTATATAAACTCTAAAAATATTAATTTTTTTTTTATTATACCTTTTTTTTAATTTTTATAAATATTAGTCATGCTCTCTAGCTAGTTTGTATATATATATTTGCATACTCATTCAGGAAAACTAAACGAGTATATTGGCTTTTTAGTTTATATATTTTTAGTTTCTTAAGTAATAACAACAACAATGCAGTAAACCAATATAGCTGAAAAACTCCACAGAATTTCTAAAATTTCCAGCTGAAATTTTGATTTAAGCTCTATATAGACTCTACATGTATATGAATTTTTATTTACTTGACAATTCTAGTTGTATTTTCTTAAGGTGTATAACAAGACTCGAGTTTGTACAAAATACACATATATACATATATACTTGATATATATTTATATACATAAATTTGTACAAATCAACTAATTTAAATGAAATATATATAAATTAATATACCCTATATATATTTTATTTGAATATTTTGTAGATGTTTAATGTGCCATTAAAATTCCAAATATATTTGCTTCATTCAAGACAATAAACTAATACAAATATTCTTCTATTTTATTTTATTAACTGTATATATCTGCATATATATAGCATCAGCCACGCAGTTGGATCGAGACAAACTTTCAGAAGCGCGAATGCATCAAGTTTATACCATGCCCAAAGGACGATACAAAGTAAGTGCCAGAGCCATGCAAATCCAATTGCGATTCATTTACTAATTAAGCCAGTGAAGTGCAGCGGTGGCCCCAACTAACGCAGTTAAGACAGCCAGCCCCCACGATTTGGCTCGAAAGCTGTGACCCAGTTTGCCGTATCAAAAAACAGTTTGGCCCACTTTATCTAAAGTGGGTTAAATTCAGAGAGGGAGGAGCAGATGAATTGGGCAAATTTGTGTATTTAGTTTCATTTTTGGCGTTGGCATTTCATTGTTTATTATTATGGCTGGCAGTTAAACCAAATCCCCGCCCTGTCAACCTCTCAAGATGCTCTCTCTCTCTCTCTCTGTCTCTGTCTCCCTCTAAACCAATTGAGATAAATGCGTTATAAACTGGCCTGTCTTGTCTGTCTGGCTCTTCCGCGCCCGACTCGTCTCGGCTTATTTGGGTGAAAGTTTTTTGTTTTGCTCAATGTTACGTACAGTGTGCACAGTTTATGACGGCTTTATGACTTTGCCCGACTGACGTTCTTATCAGGCAGCTGAGCTGCTTGTCAAATATTTGGCAACGCGCTTTTAACCCACAATCAGCTGCCTGCCCTGAGTTGGCAGCTCTCTGAATGCCCTCTAGTCTGCCAGTCACGCCTCCACTGCCTCCCACACCTTTGTTGTTGTTGTTGTTCTTGTTGCAGTCATTTACAATTGCTGGCGCTGACAATTTGTGTTGACAATTGTTCGGTGGCCGCCCACTGAAATCTATTGCCAAACAGATGGCCATTTACCTTCTCTTGTCCTGGCTAAATAAATTACGCTATTTACACATGCTTGTGAATTGTCTGCCAGTGTGTGAGTGTGTGTGTGTGTGAATGAGTGTATGCGTGTTTAATAGTATGCAAGGCTTTGCGTGTCTTAAATCGCTTGATTGATAGTATGTGGGGTGGCACGTGTTGCATGTGCCACGCATAAATTTGCAGATTTATTTAATTTGAAGAGCTGTAATTACAGGGTATAGGGGGGACTATGTAAAGGAGGACGTGTATATTGAGTGATAAGTAGGGATGTATAGAGAGAGAGAGAGAGAGAGAACGAATAATGGAGAACGAGAACGAATAATGGAGAACGAGAGAGAGAGAGAGACCCATAGAGAAGGAGACAGAGAGAGAGAGGGAGAGAGAAAGAGAAATGGAGAGAGAGATTGATCGATAGAGAGAGAAACTGAAAGAGAAGATGAGAGAGAGACAGGTGTAGAGAGGTAGAGAGAGAGAAAGAGATATAGAGAGAGAGAAAGGTATAGAGAGAAAGACAGAGAGAAAGGTATAAAGAAAAAGAGAGAGATATAAAGGAATAGAGAGAGAAAGAGAGAGAAAGATATAAAGGGAAAGAAAGAGATAGACAAGTCTAGAGGGAAAGAGAGAGAGATAGAGAGTGAAATATGTAGCAATATGGAGTGAGAGGAAAGGTAGGTTGAGAGGAAAAAGAAGAAATGTTAAAGACTTGGCCATTTCTCCTAAATGTCATATGGAATAAGTGAAGCATACCTCACTTCAGTATCAGTATAGGGTATCCTCGGCAGGTAAGCCAAAGTTAAGCCAGGTACTGCAATTGACTTATTCATTAGCCAATTGTGACTGAGGGATGCATATGCGTGGCTTGTATTAGTTAGCTGTAATTGAAATTTATTATTTAACAGGGCGAAAACTTTTGAGCAAATGCCAAGAGTAGCTAAGCAGATAAAGTGAGAGAGAGCGAGAGAGAGAGAGAGGGGAGAAAGGTAGGAAGGAAGACCGAAAAAAATGACAAGCAAACAAACATGGTGCCGCTGTCACAGCTATTGTTATGGCCAAAGACAGACAGAGAGAGGGAGAGAGAGAGAGAGAGAGGGGCGACAGACAGACAAATGTGACAGCTTTGCGTATGAGTCAACAAAAACAACAGTGGCAAAAGCAACAGCTACAACAACAGCAACAGCAACAGGAGCAAGACCACCCAGAATAAGCGCCAACAAAAGAGCCGCACATGCATAAATAACGGTTTATTTTACACGTGAGGCTTGCCATAATGTGCGTGGGAAGCACGCATGCTTGTGTGCATATGTGTGTGTGTGTGTGAGTGTGGAGTGCGTTTGCTGCCTCGTGTCATTTATACAACACACATATATTGACAATAAATCAACACGTCGTACAACAATAACAGATATACACATACATACATACATACATGCATATATCCGCCCACTCAACTAATTTGCCAGCAATATAAATATATATATGTATATACTATATCCATATAGAGATGTTTCCTTTTTGGCTTTGTGCCACATCCGGTTGCAAGTTGACTTTAACTGCGGCTTAACAACTCTTTTGCGTTTGACAGATGCTGCTGCGGCCAGGCACAGATTACGCATCAGACGATTGCCGGCATCGAGAGCGGCTCGCCGGGCGACACCTGGCTGCCCACCAAGCACACACGCCCACAGCCCACCGATGCGTACGGCACTATTGAGTTCCAAGGTGGCGCCCACCCCACCAAAGCGCAGGTGAGTTCAATGGAGCCCATAGCCTGCTTAGAGCCATGGCAAGTTCAGAGTAGAGCAGCTCAAGTTGTGGAACTATGCTCGGATCCATTAGTTGGGTAATTTTGCGTGACTAATCTGTAAATTGTAATTATAAGTAGTTTAAGTAAAAATTAACCAAGTGGAAAAGTCAAATTCTCTTAGCTCAACTACTTGAGTAGATAAACTAAATAATTAATTATTTTTATATCATTAAAATTAAGAATGCAATTAATAATATATAAGTATAAATATATAATAGCTAAAGAAATTAAAATAATTGCTTAAGTAATTAATAAATTTAATAAATAATGGAGGCAATGAATTTATGAAAATTGATATTAATATAGTTTTAAAAAATAAAATAAAATTTATTACTATATTAATGTAAACAAAATTAGAATCAAAAGTTAAAAATAAATTAATTTAAAAAATAATAAAAAAAAATTATTAAAAAAATTATCATTAAAAATTAAAAATAAATTATTAAAAAAATTATTATTAAAAATCAATCATATTCAATAATATAATCATAAAATGCTGAAACTAATAATATGTTTAAAATGTATTATATATACATATTTGTTATTAGCTTAGCCTATAGAATTATTTGATGTCAATCTTAAGTGATTTAATTAGTCAAAACTACCCAACTAGAATATTATTCTGAAAGAATAGATCCCTGGCCATCCAACTTGAGCTGGCTGTTTGAGTGGCTTTTCATATCACGTGGCTTGAACAATATGCCACTTGGAAAGAAAATTTGTTGCGAGTCACTTGGTGTCTCTGGAGGCGCGACTTAAACTTTTGCCAATAACTTGGCCAACGAATGCTTGAATACATATGTATATATATCTACATTATATATATATATCTACAGTATGTGCGTCTGTCATTCGATACACGACCGGAGCTGCTGGTGCAGCTATTCACCAAGGAATGGAATCTGGAATTGCCAAAACTTTTGATCACCGTGCAGGGCGGCAAAGCCAACTTTGATTTGCAGGCAAAGCTCAAAAAGGTAAGCAAACAAAGGGGAGAAGGGTGAAGCAGACGAAGTGAAAGCGTTCAACTACGCAAACCAAGTGTCCACTTTCACACGCTAATTGAATGGGATTCAGAAAAAGAGAAAAGAAAACGTAGAAGAAGAAATTCCTCAAATTTCAAATTCCGCTTTGTAGGAAATACGCAAAGGACTTTTAAAGGCGGCCAAAACAACGGGCGCTTGGATTTTCACGGGCGGCACCAATACAGGTGAGTCACTCGGATTCCATTTCAGTTTTTACTACAGCCATCTGTTTTATGGCCACACTATTAAAGTCAACTTGAACGAAAGTTAAATAAGTTTCGAGCCAAAGAAACAAAAAAAAAAAAAAAAGAACCCCTAGACTAGACAATAATGAAACCCGCTACAGCAACGGCAATAACGAGCTGAAGTTGGGCATTCAGTTGAAAATTAAATAAATAAGAATCCCAAGCGAATATCGCGCAGTCAAGTGATTGCACACAGTTTCCGTATTAACTGAGCGACACTAAATACCCTAAAAAATGGGACAACATTGAAATGTTGAAGAATTTGGCAGCGATAGAAAACTATAAAATAATTCTAGTTTTATTTCATAGATTTTTAATCATCATTTTTAAGTTCAAATTCAGCTTTCATTCAATATACTTTAAAACTATATATTCCATAAAAATACTATGGTATACAGATAAAAAGTATTTTCTGGAAACGTTCTATATATATTCTCTTTATTTTAATGCAGAATTTATGCTTAGTTTCTCAATAGGATATTCTGAGTTTACTTTAGTACAGTTTAGTTCTTTCTTTCAGCGTATCTGCACTTCGCTCTTCGCTTCAACTTTTATTTTATAGTCCTTTTTTGTCAGCTATCTCTTCTGATGCTGCAGCTGTTATTAAATTTTAGACACGCTGCTCTGCTATGAACTCAAACCAATAGCAAAAAAAAATATATATACATACATATATATAGTGAAAGTCAAAGTCAAGGCACTTGGGCTTCAAGAAAAAATAATAAAATAAAATAAAATAAATAAGCAAAATAAAACACAAAAAGTAACGCAGAAACTTATTCATTTCTGACATTGTTGCTGTTGCTCACATATACCAGTTCAAGCTGAGAAGAGGGTATATAAGTGCTATAAGTCTGTCACTCAACGAATGTAAAGCATTTCCTAGTTATTGCAGATATGATGGAGGGAATGTTTATGTTTCTGTCTTGTCTGATAAAATATTTATTACTCCCATTGGGATATGATGAATCGAGAATGACTTTCTATATTTTGAAAAATAAACGACTCGAATCTACAATTAAAAATATCTATAAGTAATACTTTTAATTACTGTCAATCTCTATAGATTGATCAAGCAAAGATACATATTTTTATAGACCCTTCTCTATTAATTTTCCGAATCTAATCTCTCAACAAGTATCAAACAGTCGGCTGTACTCGATACGAAATGTTCTTAAATGTTCTTTTTCGTTTTCCCATTGTTTTCCAGGCGTCACTAAGCAAGTGGGCGACGCTTTGCTGCTGGAGGGGCAGCAGAGGACAGGACGCGTGGTCAGCATCGGCATTGCGCCCTGGGGCATTGTGGAGCGCAATCATGAGCTGTTGGGTCACAATCGTGAGGTGCCCTGCCACAGCATCAGCTCGCCAAGGTGGGTTCTGAATAAAAAGACCAAGAAAAATACAGCTCAGCCCCCAATTCACTGCATATTCGATGGGGCCACATCACAAGTCCTCTTAAAGCTGTTCAGCTGGCAATTTGTGGCACCTGTTGCCAGGCTGAACTCAGCTGACACTTTACATATAAACTTTACTTGATATATTTTTTGTTTGATTGGCTTTTGTTCCGCTGGCAGATCAAAATTGGCTGTGCTGAACAATCGACATGCGTATTTCCTGCTCGTGGACAATGGCACCATGGCCAAATACGGAGCCGAATTGATTCTGCGTCGCAAACTGGAGAAATTCATTTCGAATTTAAAGCTGCATCCATGTAAGTTACCAATGAAAGATCCGCAAGGCGGACATATGCAATCAGTTTTAGTTGGCTTTGCACTTGTGGCAAGCAGGCAGGCACTCAGCACTCGAAGAGGAGGAAACTTTAGAAATTGTGGCAAAGATTAATACGCTTTGAGGCAGAAGTCGTACAAAAGCTGCCTGAGGCGCATTGTACAGAGTTCAGTTTGCATTCCTTGTGCAGAGAAATTGCACACAGTCGCACGGCTCCTAAATCGGACTTGGATGTGTGCAAATATAAGAGTTGAAAGCATAGGATTAATCTGGATGGTGGTAAATAGATTGAGTACAGAGTAAACTTGAGTGAGTTGAGTGTTATGAAGAGTGAGGTTTATGTGGAAACAAAGAGACAGAAATAGCCGTAAACTGTAAGGGTTTTCTTATATAAGATGACATTGCTTTAATATACTTCAAGTTTAGCTGATTAAATGTATATTTCAACTCAGAATCTCATTTGATCAGATATAGAGTAAAGCAAAGCATAGTAAAAAGGAAATAGAAGAGGCAAAGTTCCACAACTAACTCAACTTTAGGCTCGTGTCATCTCCTAAGGTTAAAAGTTTCATTTCTACTATATATGTATATATGTATGTATTCGTTCAGCTCGTGGAACAGTCGTTCGTTCATTGAAGCTCTGTGCAAAACGTAAGTATGAAATTACGAATGTGTAGTGGAGCTGTTCTCCTCTGTGGCCTATGGATGATTATTATGATGATGATGTTGTTGTTGTTGTTGTTGTTGCTGCTTTCTTTTATTATTATGATTATTATTATGAGTGCCTTATATAAAAAGCTTGCGATTGAAGAGTGGACAATTGTATTGCATAAATCATGCTGAGGTTAGGTTGAGTTAGCAGACAGCCGCAAGCTGAGCTGAGCTCAGCTGAGTTATATCATTGACTCGCACCTTTGTTAGCTACATTATATCTATATACCTATATTCATCTATATATATATATATCTTTAACATAATTTATTTATGCCCCTTGCAGTCACACATTCCAGTACGCCGGTTGTCTGTCTGGTGATTGAGGGCGGAACGAACACAATACGTGCTGTCCTCGAATACGTGACGGATTCGCCTCCAGTTCCTGTTGTTGTTTGCGATGGTTCCGGCCGTGCCGCCGATTTGTTGGCCTTTGTGCACAAGTGAGTTTAAACGGATTGTTATTTATTTATACGCACACACATATATCTCTTCTTCTTTTCCTTATTTTTATGCCTTCCGACTGATTGTGAGCTAGGCAATTAATGAGGCAACAGCAGTTAGTTGAAATTTAATTAGTTACGCGCGTTCTCATGCAGGTTGAGCCCGCCGTCTGTCCTACCGACTTCCTTCCACTGTTGCCCGTTTTCTTATTTAATTTGCGGCTGCCCCTGCTCCTGCCCCTGCCCCTGCTGCTGTTGCCTTTTCTGTCTGATATTGTTATTAGTGTCTGTCTGACTGCTTAAGGCGGGGCGGGGCAACTTCACGTTCATTAAGTACACGACATTTTGGGCAAATTATTTAAATTCGGGTCCCACTGACAAAGTGTAGGCCACAATATTACGCATACGCCGCATGGCCCGCAACATTACGCATACGCCGCCTGGCCGTAGCCCAATTGGTTTCAACAAAAACTTTTTGTCAGTCTGTTTTCTGTTGCTGCTCTTCCGTTATTTACCTAACAATTTGCTGCCATCCCCCTGCCACCGCTCGTCAGCTTCATTTAATTTAATGTGTTTAATTAGACGCCAGAGTTGCTTCTAACTTCGACTTGAACTTCTGTACATAAATTTGTTATAGGTACGCATCGGATGGCGAGGAGCAGCCCGTGCTGGAATCTATGCGTGATTATCTCATCGGAACCATACAGAAAACCTTTGAAGTGGGCCTGGATCAGGCGGAGAAACTCTACCAGGAGCTGCTGCAGTGCACGCGCAATAAGAATTTGGTAAGTGCTTCTGTCTGCCATTGAGTGGGTGGTTTTGAGAATAATTTTTGTGAAATGTCAAGATGCCCTGTAATAGGAGAGGCTGGATACGGCAAGGTGGTGTAGCAGAGATGCTTGTTTGGTAGCCTAGTATATCTTGAGTTGATGAACTTTAAGATTGCCTGAGAGCGTATAGAATTTAGATTTTATTAAATGCAATTATATGTTTATATTAGCAATAAAAGAACTCAGTATATTAGATGATTATCTTATAATTATATAACAAACATAACATTACAGTTCCTTATAAATTTATTTCACATGCATTCAATAGATAGGGTCTTAAATATCGTATCATATAGATTTTCTGTGTTTATGTTGAGTTCCTATGGGACAAGCATTTACACCCTCTCAATATGCATTGATTAATGTGACTTTTGCTGTTTAGTTATGGTGCAAAGCGCGCCAACCCTTGCCCGTAGTTCATTGTGCTAGTTCACGTCAAAATCCCTATAGATTTTTGTGCTTCTAGCTTAATTTTCGTGTGCTTAGCAAATGCCTTTCGACAGCCTGCATTATTTAACTGTTTAATCGGACTCCTTGAATTCTAGGCATAATTACACAAATTAATTTATTATTTTAAATTCTCAACAAAAATCACAGCATTCAAGTATTTTACATATCTAAGCCCATAAACACGCCCATACTTTATAGGTGTTGTACGATGCTAGCATACGTCTCTCCTTTATATTTATATTCTCCTATTATATTACCTTTTGTTTACTCCCATCTTACTCAGCTTGTAAGCTATATACATATGTATATCATATCATATACATATGTATATGTTTGGCTAATATCCTTGGCAACGCAATATTTCAATGCCTTTTGTGGCTAAAATTATATTAAACTGTTTAGCCACAAAAAGCAGAAAAAAATTTGCGTAAGGACATAAAAGCGAATCGTAAAATGTGTTTTATACATATTTAAAAGTCGCCAGGTGGCATTGGCTCAGCACTTTTTCCAGATGATGGGGCGCACTGAGGCGCTATCAACTCGGCTGTATTAAAGAAAGTTTTTTTTTTTTTTTTTAGTTTAAAGTATAAATGATTAATGACCAGGCGAAAGGCTTTCGCTTTGAGCAATTAAAAGGGCATCAAAGATGGTGGAGAAAACTCATTTCACCTGGAGTCTGCTATATTTGTGTCTATGTGTGTGTGTGTGTTTGTGTTTGTAGCAGTTCTTAAATGCACTTAAGTCTGTGACGCTTTTGGAGATTTAAATATTTAATTAGGCAACAGTTAAGCATGAATTAGGTGCTGCAATATAATGATGAGCCTAGCGCAAGATTCAATTGAACGTTTAATGAATTTTAAATCAGCTACGAACATTTTTGCATGCCACAAATAGAATTTGCTCCAGTTTCTGATGAATTTTGATGAATCTCGCTGTGGTTGTTATTAAGATTTTAATTGGTTTTCAAATAGGGCAGACCTCTTCTAGCTTGGCTCTGCGTTCGCCTGCTCTGCGCCCCGCCCCGTTCCGCCCTGCTAGACAAACATTACTTTTGTTTAGCGGTTTTTGCATTAGGCATTACTTAAGGCTTTATTTCGTGTCTCTCATTCTCTCTTTCTCGCTCGCTCTCTCTCTTGTTCCGTCTCTTTTCAGATTACGGTCTTTCGCATACAGGAAAAGCCAGAGGGCGAGGCGCAGGAGCTGGATCAGACCATTCTAACAGCTCTATTCAAATCGCAGCATCTCAGTCCCCCAGAGCAATTGAGTCTTGCATTGACATGGAATCGTGTGGACATAGCGCGCAGTGAGATATTTGTCTATGGACAGGAGTGGCCCAATGGTACTGAAATACATTAGATATACAAACAGATATACATACATATACATGTACATGTATATATACTCTTCAATATGTCTAATATGTATTCAATCTCTGCATAATTCCGTATTATATATATCCTTAGGCGCCTTGGATGAGGCCATGATGCAGGCACTCGAACACGATAGAATCGATTTTGTCAAATTACTTTTGGAAAATGGGGTCTCGATGAAGAAATTTTTAACAATACCCCGACTCGAGGAGCTCTACAACACAAAACACGGTCCGGCCAATACCCTGGGGTAAGTTGTCTCCTTCTCTTTTCTCATTCTCATTCACTTGCCCATGGCCTATGAATATGTATATATTCTCATGCAGCGAATAAATTTTTGTCGTTTCCTTCTCTATTTTCATTCGCTTCACCTTTTTTATTTCGTTCTCAATTGCAGCTACATATTGCGCGATGTGCGCCCGCATATACCCAAAGGCTACATTTACACGCTCCACGACATTGGCCTTGTCATCAATAAACTAATGGGCGGCGCCTATCGGTGAGTGAGCGCGGACTGCGTGGCGTATGCAGGCATCGTGTGCCTGCAGCTCACGTGTGTGCAAAACCTTTTAATACCCTGCCAAATTTCCATTTCAAACAAGTAAGAAAGCTCTAGTCGAGACAGCTCGACTACGAGATCCCCTGAACCCTACAAGCAACTGATATTTCAATAATAATTAGCAAACAC